ATATAAAAAATCCAGTAAACTATCCTTGCAAAAGTGTTTATAGAAAACTGAAAGGATTAATTGAAGTGGTTGAATTTCACTTGGTTTGTTTTTCTAATGTGAAACTTATTTGACAAAGTGTTTACCTCGGACTGAGGATAAAACCTGATGGTGAAAAAGATTGAGCTAGAAGTCCTTGCCAGCTCCTCAGTTGTAATAAGTAACTTACACATACTCATGTAAAAGAGTAACGATTGCGTTACTACACCAGTGTAAAAATGATACAAGAAGGCTTAATGTATTTACAGACCGAAGTCTGAATTTTCTTAGAGGCTTGTAAATGTCCATATGCTGAACCTTGATGTGCCTATGGAAGTCATGGTTCCTGCATCTTTCAGCATACAGATCACAAGTTTGGCTTGTTCAGCCATGGATGCTGTAGCAGGCAGCGTGACCCTCACTTACGGTATTGTCCTACATAAGGATAAAGTAATTATTCAGTCATAATTTAAGGAAAATTCCGTAATAGGAAAAGAAATTGAGCTATTGCTTACCTCCCAGTGAAATCAGCGATGCCCAGATGATTTCCTGTGTCCAGATGATGCCCTGTGTCAGCAGCTTAAATGGTAATGATGGGGACCTGTGGATTTAGTTGCATTAAAGGACTTGAAGAATAAACAGTAGCTCATGGCTGGCCTTATTCAGCAAGACATAGAATATGACATATAGCTCAACCTCTTAAATGTGGAGAAAAAAAGCAGCGCAAGAGAAAAATATACTTCTGGATCTGAGAGAAGTAATAAAAATATAGATACAACTTTTATGCCTTATTTAGCGAAGCAAGGATCAGGAGAGTATTATTTTTAGAAGAGCAGATATACAGACCTTTAGATTATCATGGTGACAAGAACACCGCTTCCTCTTTATATATCTCTTTTTATCTCTACTCCTTTTTTTTTTTCTCATGTATTTCTGCATCTGAGGGTTGGTTCAGGGATCTCTGTGTAGAACATTCTGGTGTGGCACAGACATTGCAAAATATATGGTAAATGTAGCCTGCTGGCTGATTTAAGATGTTTTCTCAAGAATCTTTAATCAATGTTTTCCCAATGCTTAATTGGAAGTTTCTTTGCTTTCTGACTTACTAAGCTATCCTGAAGGCTAGATAAGTTATTAAAACTTTATCTGACATTTACACCTTTTATTTACTTTTCTAATTTATGGCTAAATGGATAGCACAAATCCTTTCCTGTGCTTTGTTTCTAGGTGTAATGAGATTGCCCTCTCCAGTGTCAGAAAAAAGCGTGGTAGGTAGAATCTTCAAAATGTTGAATAGATAATTGCTGCTTTTTGAGATGGTGTTTAAATTTCCCGAGATTCTTCCCGTATCCTGGAGCAAAGGTCTATTTCTGTATATGTCAAGGGGCATCATGTTCCATCTCAGGCTGGAAAAATTCCCACAGAAGTTTAGCTGCACCTATTACCTGTATCTGTACGGCTGGTAGGAGAGGCGGTCAAAAAAGCAGATGCCAGCTGGTGTTGCCCTTTACTGGCAGCTGTGGGGCTTCAGCACAAGTCAGCCCCATGGATGGCACCCAGATGATTGTCTGCTGGTTTGCACTGGTGTGATGGTGAGGGTGGCAGGGTGGAATAATGGAGCCAAGTGGGATGATAACAGTGTTGGGTCATTTTCAGCGAAGGCCTCCACCACCTGTTCCTCCAGAAGAAAATGGGAATGAAGAGGAGGAGGTAGTGGTAGCAATGTATGACTTTGAGCCTACAGAACATCATGATTTAAGATTAGAGAAAGGTGAAGAATACACAGTGATAGAGAAGAATGACCTTCACTGGTGGAAGGCGAGAGACAAATATGGGTAAACAAGAGTTCCTTATTTTTCATTATGAAGTTTATAAGGCTGTTCCCACGTTGTAGTTTTTGTTGACACATAGTCAATATAGAACAGTATTAGACCACATTTGAGACCCCAGCCCTGAAATTTCATTCATATTTTAATTCCCACATAGAAACCAATTTAAAATAGTGTGGTTCTTGATAGATTGTGGGGCCTGTGTGCAAAGACTGTTACAGACCTGAAAGCTTCTCCCATTGTATTTCCTGTCAGGCTTTATGGTTTCCCAAGTAAAGCATTAGCCAGCCTGCAAAACCTCGCTAGACTAGTACAGTACTCCCACTTCCCAGGGGAACGGCTCATTAGGGAGCAATATGGTTAACACTCAGCTCAGCAGGCTTCAACTTCCAGACTTGTGTAATCATCATCTTATTTAATAGCTGGATCATTAGGGGAATCTTTACATGAGTTGATAGAGAGTTATAGTGAGATGCCTTAATTACTACAACTTTACATTCCCTAGATTAAATTTTTTTCCTGTGATTTTAAAGGTGGAAACTTCAATATTTATCAGGTCCCTGTTGCAAGATGTTAGGGGTAATTGCAAGTTACTAGGCTGTGGCAGGCTCCAAACATATTCCCAGTGACTGATTGGGACTTTCAGGCACAGAAGTGACAGAGCAGCAGAGAGTTATTCTCTTTTACCTCTTTTGCTTGGTTTTCTTGGACACTTCTTTTGCCTCTAGGAACCCTGAAAGTTAATGTGGAAATGCTAATGCAGAGAATTAGTTTCTGTATAATCAGTAGTAGAGTGGGTGGATCAGTAATGAATTACAGCAAGAGACCTCTGCATGTAATGCAATATGTTTTCACTCAGATTTTATGTATTTATTTATTTATTTTTAGAAAACAGGGGTATATTCCAAGCAACTACGTAACAGGAAAGAAGTCCAACAATCTTGATCAATATGAGTAAGTGAATATTTGAATTAAGATCTGGAAGATCATAAAACAGAATTTGTGTGTTAAGAACGACAATGTATTTTTTAAGTTTTGAAGGCAATTATTTACATACAACAGCAATTTTCTCAGATACAAAACTATTTGAAATGGGCATGTATTTGTTCTGATTCTTCTCACTGATTTTGCTGTGAATTATAATGTAGAGACAAGTGAGATGGCCATCAGGCATGTAGTTTTTGGGCTATCACTATTGAAGTGAAAAAACCTCTCCTAATTCTCTGCTAGACAAAGGGAAACGTCAAAGGAAATTTAACCATTAAGTGTGCTGAATGTTGTTTTTTTTTTTTTTTTACTTTAATGTGAAATGTTAAGCCAAAGTGTGTGGCAGTAAGATAGTAGAGTGGAAAACACTGGAAATCGTTCAAAGAAAACATAACATATCGGACTGTGGAAGGCAGTTTGGTTTTAAGGAAAGGTATCACTTGGTGCATTTTAAGTCTCAGTGTATGTATGCATGTAACTTATCAATTATAAAAAATAGCTTTTTCTAAAAAAATGCTTTTTTCGGTTGTTGTTTAATTATGGAGTAGTTATTAATTTAACACTGTAGTCTCCAAGTCTGTTGTTCTTGATATTCAAATTTCAGTATAGCATAGATTGTTGTGCCTGAGAGCTTAGAACGTATTTCATGACTTAGATAAAATGAAAATGGAGCTGTAAGGAAATAATAATTAAAACAAGTTTACAAACCCACGTTAGTAGCCCCAGAACTCTACTCTCATCCATGTATGGCTTCTACTGCTGTGTTTTGATAGAAGGTAGAATTTCATCTGGGGTTTTGCCCTCAGCTTTACTAGAGGGAATTCCTTGTTCCTTGTTGCTTTCTCATCTTACAGTCTCTGGCTAAGAGCCCTGCCATGTTCTGGGCTGGGCTGCGGGGCTGGCAGAAAGGGAAGGAAGGAAGGAACTGGGTTGCCTTATCTGGTCCAGCCACTTTGTGCTTACCACCTTGAGACTGTAGTTCTGAGTCACTGCACAGTCCAGGGGGCATTACTGCAGGTTATCTACCAACAGCAAGAAACCACTAGCTCTGGAAGAGCAGAACTTGATTAGAGGCTGCTGTGCCACTTCCCTGCTTGGTTACCACCATGACAGCATAGCCTAAAACCATTGCATCACACCATTTGCAAGTAGTGTTTGTTTTTCCTTTTTATATTATTTGCTGCAGCTGGCTGAAATGTCAGTGCTTCTGTGGCTGCCTTAACCTGCCCATGCAGCACAGAGCTCAGGGTTGTCCGGCTGTGACATTTAACTCGCTTTCGATCTCCTCTTAGGTGGGTTGTCCCTGGAGAACCAGAACCATGAAGTTATTGAATGAAGTAGGAGTCTAGCAGGCAGCTCTGCAAGTAGCTCAACTGGTGTGCAGGCAGCTGCTTCCCTGGGGCTGCTAGCGTGCCCTTGGGCTGCTGTTTGGAGCAACTACTGCCACCAGCCTGCGTGGGTTTGAGAAGTTTTTGCCAAGTACCTGAGCTTTACTGCCTTCTGTGGGCTCCCGCTGGATTTGTTTCAGGGCATTTTTATGGGATAACTGCACAATATAAGAGAGACTGATCCTTTTGCACATTAACAAAGGAACAAAATTCAGTTCTAGACCTTCGCTTACCATAAAACTATTGAATCTGTTGCTTTGTAACACTTTGCTTCAAGCATTTTAGGTAAATAATGCACCTTAAGAAGTTTTGGTTACTGATGTTGTGTTTCAGGTGGTACAGCAGAAACCTGAACAGAAGCAAAGCAGAGCAGCTCCTCAGAAACGAGGTGAGCTCAGCAGCCTTGCAATATTAACCATGAAATTCACATAAGGTGACTTCTCTTATTAAAGCAGAGGCTTATTTTGGCATGCACAAATCACAGTATGAGTTGAAGAGACACACAGCTTAAAACTGCTTGTACAAAACTGTCTATGCTTGCATTTTAGGATAAAGAAGGTGGTTTTGTGGTGAGAGACTCAAGTCAGCCTGGCCTGTACACAGTTTCCCTTTATACAAAATTCGGAGGGTGAGTTTCTGTGGCTGCTCTGTGCACCTTATCTTGTCTGAATCCATTTGCATCTGTATCCAAATCCATGGGCTGGGTAAAGCCCTGGAGAGAGCTCAATAAAGAAACAAGGGCTGCTGTGATAGAAATGATGGATAACTAAAATGAGCTTCTTGATTCCATGGTTAGACCACGTTGGGTTTGATCCAATGTCGACGTGAACCTCCACCCAAAGAAGGTCTTGCTCTCCCACCCTGTTCAGTCACTTCCTTCCTGCCAGCCCACATGTTTGCATTGGCATGTGGTGAGCTCAATCAGGGAGCTTGCTGGGCTGAAAATGAACCTTTTGCGGGTTAATGTTCAACTTCATCTCAGCACTGGGATGAAGGTGAGTCACCAGCGCTTGGGATCTTTGATATTCAGCTGTTCCTGAAGCATGTGGCACTGGGCACCCACGCCAGCCCTTGTGGTTTCCTGTTCCTAGTCAATGCGCTTCTCTTAAATAATTCTCAACAGATAGCACGGTGTTGTTGTTATTGTTGTTACTGTTTTTCCAGAGAAGGTTCATCTGGAATAAGACACTACCACATAAAAGAAACAGTGACGTCACCAAAGCAGTACTACCTCGCAGAAAAACATCTCTTTAACTCCATTCCAGAAATAATTGATTATCATAAACATAACGCAGCAGGTAGATGACTTGGAATTTTTTCTGTTGCTTAGAGTTGATTTGAAAAGGAGTGTGGGATGTTTAGGTTTTTAATTGAATAAAACTCCTAAACTGGTTTTTAAAGATGCTTCTTTGTCAGGAATAAGTGCATTTTCACTTTTCTTTTGATATAGGCAGTAATTTGAGAGGTTTTGTGTGTGCGTGTATATATAAATAAATGTATAAGTATGTTACTGTCCCCAGAGTAACAGAAGAATAACTGTATCAAGTCAGGGAAAAATCATTCATTTAGCTCCATGTAGCATTTCTTATCAGCTGCCAGTAACCCACAGCGGATGGAGAGGGATGGTACTTCCCCAGAATATGCTCCACTGATACATACTGCTGATCACCACTGCTTAGAATGATCTAACCTTCCCACTGAGCAAAGAGATGAGGAGAACAGTAATGTAGTGTTCATGAAATGACTAGAGATGAGTCTTTGTAAAGGTTAGACTGTGGATCTATGGGCGATGGCTGAAGTTGATGTCCATCTGCTGTATAATGGGATCGGAGAATTTAGGAATCAGGTTCAAGGCATAGATACTAACAGAGTATATTTTTTTCTAAGTCCAGTCCGTACGCAAATTGCCTGTATGAGCTGTGGTTTCCAGATGTTTGTATCAAATTCAGATCACCCAGCATTTCCTATTGATATTCTGGAAAAAAACCCTCTTGTAGCAACTTAGAATAGTAAACATAATAGCAGAAAATATGGCCAAAGCTATATATAATAAGCTTATTGTTAATCAGTGTTGAACTCTGCAGTGTGCAAGTGGCTGATTTGCTGCCTGGCACTATTTCGGAAGTTAATTCTTGAATTGTCATTGAATGTCAGGTCTTGTTACCAGGCTGCGTTACCCAGTGACCCCAAAGAAGACAACAGCACCAACAACGGCAGGATTCAGCTATGGTAATGGCATGTTATATTCATCTACATGTATATTTTCTAATGATTTTCTGTATGTTAAGATGCTACAATACTTTCTAAAAATTTTTGAAGACTTACTTTTGTACTGTGATTGGCTTTGAGACCCTTGCAAAGAGGATTGGCATGCCAAGGCATCATGGCTGGTGGTAGGCATGTGGTGCCAAGGGCGCAAGTGAGGAGAGGCAGAACATGCCACTGGTGCTTCACAGGAATTTGGCATCTTCCATCGTGCTTTTTATGGGCACCTTGAGCTCTGCCTTTGGCTCCTTCATAAGCCTTCAGACTTATGATTCAGCCTTGGCCCTTTGATCTTTGTGGAGGGGTTACTTTTTTCTATATATAAATTTGGAATAACCTGTTTTAGGCATGGCCCATCAGGAGATGTGAGCAGCTTCTATGCATTGACACAACTTTCTATGATGACAGCTTGTTGAAGTGAAGTCTGATAATACCAGTATGTAATTACTGGCCTCAGGAAAACTTGAGGTTTGCCTTCTGTGTTGGTCAGAAGCTGCTTAAAGGTCATGTCTGCCTAAAAGTTTGTTTGATTTTTGAGGTATAGAAGTGTTTAGTTTGCAAGTTAATTCTAAGACATTTTCTCCCTAAATTCCCTGGTTTGCTAGTAATCCATTTTCCCTTTCCTCTTTCTTATCATCTACCAGTTCAGTAGGTTCCTTAATACAGGAGTCATGGGCTCTCATTTGTTTTGTTTTTAGAAAAATGGGAAATTAATCCCTCAGAACTGACGTTCATGAGAGAACTGGGGAGCGGTCTGTTTGGTGTAGTGCGCCTGGGGAAGTGGAGGGCACAGTATAAAGTGGCCATCAAGGCAATTCGGGAAGGTGCGATGTATGAAGAGGATTTCATTGAAGAAGCTAAAGTAATGATGTGAGTTGTGTGTTTGGCACTTCTATTTCCAGTTCTAGGCCTCTGATACCATATACTGCTTATAAATAAAACACTTTGGGCAGGTGGTATTCTTGCAGTTTTGTGGGGTGGAGAACTGGGTGGAGGAAATAATGTCAACATGATCTCAATCTTTTCAGGAAGCTAACACATCCTAAATTAGTACAGCTGTATGGTGTGTGCACGCAACAGAGACCTATTTACATCGTGACAGAGTTCATGGAGCATGGCTGCCTTCTCAATTACCTGAGGAAAAAACGGGGAGTTTTGAGTAAAGATGTCCTGCTCACTATGTGCCAAGATGTATGTGAGGGAATGGAGTACCTGGAGAGAAACAGCTTTATCCACAGAGACCTGGTAACATCCCATTAGGCAGTACAATCCTTTGAAATTTTTATTTTTGACCTTTCCATTCCTTTTTTGAAGCAGCCTGTTTGTGAATAACTGCTTTTGTTCTTGCAGAAAACTAGATGTAGTTGAAGTTGGCTCTTCAGAGTCTAATCAAGTCTCTAAAACTGCTTTGTACAGGCAATGATAAGAGGTTTCTCTCTCCGAAGAAAATGGAATGAAATCTTTCTGAAATTTTTCTAAACAGTTAATGGCTATTTGCACTGATATAATAGCATATCTCTGTTATAGATAGGTGCCATTTTCACTACTCATGAATCCCTTGATGATAACTTTTTCTGATGGTACTTTTACAAAATGGTTTAGTTGTCAAAACAGTACTATCACCTTTTATAATGAGAATACAGCACTGAGCTTGGTAAAATATGAACTTGCTAAGCAATGAGGACAAAGTCCTTATTAGACTGTTGTAATTTGTCTGCAAGAGACTGCAAGTTTTTCATCCAGCTCTAACCATTCCACTTGCAGGCTGCCAGGAACTGCTTGGTGAGTGACTCTGGAGTGGTCAAAGTATCGGATTTTGGCATGACGAGGTATGGCTGGATGTGCAAACACACTTGTGGGGATTTGGGAAATGTACTTACTTAGCCATAAGGCAACACATGCCCAGCAAAATTATGTGCAAAAGTTACCTTTTTTGACCTCTCTAAGGAACATCCTTCAGTCACATTTTCCAGGTGCCTTTATAGCCCGTTCTGTTGTCACGTGTCAATTTCCTTACTAATTTTAATTTTTGAAAATCAAGACTATGTCAGTTTGTTCTCTAGAGAAGTAAGTGTGTCTAGTGCTCACCATGCAGAGGCCTGGCCTTGAACTCACTCCATTGTCTGATTGGTCTTCCATTAGCAACTTTCTATTAGCATCTCTGAAAACCTTACAAATATCTTGTAGTGATGCAGAAAGCATATTAGAGCTTGTTTCTTGGACAGCAGAGCTCATGCTGCAGTGATAATAGTTGTTAGTCTGTATTTTGGTAAATAAATGATAGAAAGAGGCTGTTTGAGTTTGCTATCCTCTTGGGGTAGGTGGTTCAGAGTTGCATCTTGCTAGCCAAAGTGCTGGGAGGTACTGGGACCGGGTGAGGGGTTAATTTCCTGCCCTTGGTAGCACCACAGGGTTCTGCATTGGGTGGGTGATGTGTGTATGAAGCAGGGAGTGGGGAGCAGAGCTTACAAAGAAGGTGTTGGGCACCATGGTTTGAGCGTGCTCTTCTGGGCGTTTGCCACCTTTCTGTGCTGCTGAGTTTGCATGTCCCCTGACGTCTGAATTCAGACTGGCCAGTGAGAAGCAGAGCAAGAAATTAATGCTTTTGCATAATTTTCTTTTGCAATACAGACATTCAACTTGCAACTGGCCTGTTTTGTATAGCAAATAATCAAAATGGTCATAATCAAAATGAACTGGGTTTTGACTGAAACCTTAGTACTGCATCGGAGAAGCTATTTTTGTTGTGGGATGGAAACAGTCATGGCCAGTAGGTGGCAATAGGAGCTTCTAATATCCAAATCTAAATAACAGTTTGCAGGCCTGGAGGCCGACTAAAGGATATTTATTTATTTATTTATTTATTTCCCCAGGTATGTCCTTGATGATCAATACACAAGTTCCTCAGGGGCTAAATTTCCTGTGAAATGGTGCCCCCCAGAAGTCTTTAATTACAGCCGATTCAGCAGCAAATCAGACGTGTGGTCATTCGGTAAGACATTCATCATTGAAAGAAAGCACTATTTTTACATTTTATCAGTAGCAGTGAAGCTCCAGCTATTGGGAAGGGTTCAGGCAGCTGAGAAGAAGCTCAGAGCAACCATTTGCCATGGTTTTATGCTTGCATAAATTTCTGCAGAGACCTTTAGAACTGTTAGTTATTAAACTCCATGCTACTAGAATAAGATTTTTTTTTTTTCAGCGATGATACATGTGAACACTTCCTAGAATATGGATTTCAAACTATTTATCTGTTAGAAATCCTGAGCCCTGAGCTCAAAATAAACGTATATATTTTAAGAAGTTATTTACTTATTGCCTTACTTTTTATTTTCCTTTTTTCAGGTGTTTTAATGTGGGAAGTATTTACGGAAGGAAAAATGCCCTTTGAAAAAAGCTCCAACTATGAAGTAGTAACAATGATTAGCCAAGGACATCGCTTGTATCGGCCTAAACTAGCCTGTAAGCAGGTGTATGAAATGATGATGATGTGCTGGCAGGAGGTACATACTTCTTATTTGTCTTTGAGTTGAAAAAGGATCAATCTAACAAGAAAAATTAATCTCTATTGCAGCGTTCTGATGGTATCCATGCTTTCTTGGCTATTAATGTGTATATTGACAAGATAAGGATCTCCTCCTGGTTAGCAACCAAACTAGAGCTGTGATAAGAAAAACAAGGGCATTTATATGAAATAAATGGACTGTCAGATTAAGTGTGCAAAGGCATCTAGTAACAAAATGAAATAATTGCTAAATCTATGCTAGTTATGATTATAGCTGCATATGAATGCTGCTAGCAAAAAAATTCAGTCAGAACAGCCCAGAGTTGGTGAATCTGATTTTTATATTGCTTTAGTTTATTAATCATTACAGATACATGCCAGAATGACTGAAAATATTTTGAAAGGAATACTTCATTACTTGATCATAAATTATATAGGAAATAAAGACTGACTTGTAGTTGACTTTAAATACAAATCCCAAAATTTATAAAGAAAGATAAATATATACTGTACTATTAATCCTCCTAACCCAGAATGATACTCACTGTACAGTTTTCATAGGTCAGAGGGGCAGCAAAACAAAATCTAATACTTGATCAACTAAATTAGTATAAAATAATTTTTGTAGTATTAAAGCAAAAGGTCTCTAAGGATAGGTGCATTTAATGAGATGCCTCTGCTTTTGAGAGAGCAGTTGAGGAAACCAAGAATAGAAAGAGCTACATGATTTATTTCTAGTTAATCTTTGACGGAGGGGCGCTGGGGAAAAACTGTTCTTTTCCCGTAATAAAGATGACATAGTGTCTGACATTTGTCTTCTCCTCAAAGGTGCTGAAACAGAGAGCAATTTAGTCATCAAAGCAGCTGGTGGAGATCTCAAACTTACAAACCAGTTAGCTTATGCAGCAAAAAATACGTTAAACACAGCAGTGCCCTGGAGGGCAATGGAATGACAATATCTGTAGTTCAAAAAAGGTATTCACAGGAGACAGGAAACTACATCATTAGATTAATTTTTTATTTCTTTTTGTACTTGGTAACCAGCTTGAAATGGCCATTAAAGTGGAATAATAAATTATCTGAAAGATAATGATAAGTTATTTGTTAATGCTTTTTGAATATTAATATGTATTTATAGGACTTATATGAACATCAATGACTTGATTAAAAAATACTAATTTCATCAGGGGTTATTAACAATAAAATCATAGAATGCTTTGGGTTAGAAAGGACCTTAAAGCTTATCTAGTTCCAACCCTCCTGCCATGGTCAGGGGTGCCTCACACTAGACCATGTTGCCCAAGGCTCTGTCCAGCCTGGCCTTGAACACCGCCAGGGTTGGAGCATTCACAACTTCCTTGGGCAACCCATTCCAGTGCCTCACCACCCTCACTGTAAAGAACTTCTTCCTTATATCTAACCTGAACTTCCCCTGTTTAAGTTTAAACCCATTACCCCTTGTCCCACCACTACAGTCCCTAACGAAGAGTCCCTCCCCAGCATCTCTGTAGGCCCCCTTCAGATACCGGGAGGCTGCTCTGAGGTCTCCACACAGCCTTCTCCAGGCTGAACAGCCCCAACTTTCTCCGCCTGTCTTCATACAGGAGGTGCTCCAGCCCTCTTATCATCCTCATGGCCCTCCTCTGGACTTGCTCCAACAGTTCCATGTCCTTTTTATGTTGAGGACACCAGAACTGGACACAATACTCCAAGTGAGGTCTCACAAGAGCAGAGTAGAGGGGCAGGATCACCTCCTTTGACCTGCTGGTCATGCTTCTTTTGATGCAGCCCAGGATATGGTTGGGTTTTGGGGTGCACGCGCACACTGCCGGCCCATGTCGAGTTTCTGATCAATCACCCCCCCCAAGTCCTTCTCCGCAGGGCTGCTCTGAATCTTTTCTCTGCTCAACCTGTAGCTGCGCCTGGGGTTGTGTTGACCCAGGTGTAGGACCTTGCACTTGTCTTGGTTAAACTTCATGAGGTTGGCATCAGCCCACCTCACAAGCATGTCCAGGTCCCTCTGGATGGCATCCCTTCCCTCCAGCGTATCAACCGAACCACACAGCCTAGTGTCATTGGCAGTCTAAATCTGAACCTAAAGCAGTCATCACACGGGAGAGAAAGAATCTTTGCGAATCACAAACAGGATACAAGTAATGGCAACATAATGTCAATCTTTGTCATGAAATATTATTAACTGTAGGTACATCTGTCCTCATTTAACAAATTTATTAATGCAGAGGGAAGTGAATACTGCGGCTTCAAAATTCAGCAGGTGATACAAACGTGTAAAAAGGTTGATAAATGGAGGAAAAGTGCAAGTTACCTGGGTATTCAGAAGATGAACTGTTTCAGCAAGGTCAGAGAAGAGACTAAGTCAGTGTATTGCTTAACTAAAGAGAACAAACAGGATGTTATAACAAATAAGGAACTCTATGGAAAATGAAGTAGACAAAGGATGCTGTTGTGTAATTCATTACGCAGTTTCATTTCAGAGTCAAAATAATGTTGAAGTAAAAGAGGCTTCAGAGAATTACACTCAAAAATCCTTAAGAGCATGAACAGCTTGTATGGTGAAAGATTGGAGCAATTCACTGGGGGAGGTGGGGATAGGGAATTAAAATGCAAAAGCATTGCTCTGTGCAAAATGGTGAATTATGTGGAGTGCAGTCCAGCAATGCTTATTTATGCTTTTTCAAAGCATAAAAAAAAAGGTGACGCTTCCTGAGATAGTGACACATCTATAATCCACACAAGGAAATATTTTTGTGTCACATTTAGTGAACAGCAAATTAATCTCCACAGAATCATATCAAGACCAGTAATTTAGCAAAATGAACACAACTTTATTGCTTTGTGATCACAGCTGTGCATGCTTTTTATTGTCAGAAACCAGAGGGACGCCCAACTTTTGAAGAGTTGCTTCACGCAATCATTGACATTGCAGAGGGTGAAGATGCTTTCTGAAAAAATACAGCAGCAGCACAAGTACAGGAAAGAAGCTACTTTCCCGAGATGTGACTTCACCATTTCTTTCTGAAAGCTTGATTCTGTGAGCTGCTGAATGCTGCTGAATAGTGTGGAGAACCTTCAGCATCTGATCTACTCCAGTACAATGACAGTTTTATGTGATGTTGGGAAATAAGCAAAGTGTCTTCAGCAATAGTAGCAGTCTCTGAATTTTCCCTGGGAAGCCAGCATAGCTGGGAAGTTGAGCTCTTTATGGAGGAAGAGAGAGAATGTGCCCAAAGTCCAGGAGCCTAATTTGTATTTAGTGGGTTGGGTTTGTGTACATACAGTCTATGTTTCTGAGTTTCTCTTTACACAGGCAGTAGTATTAATAGTGATTTGCATGCTTGAAAATTGAAGGTATCTATAAATGGCTATTTACTGACATTGAATGTTTCCAGAGATTCTCCAGAAACATTTTTCTCAGTTGATGGGTGGTTTATGTCACAAAATGTGCCTCTTTCATTTGCACAGTAGGTTGTTAACAGCATAGTCTTCAGTTTAGTCTAACACTCAAAAAACCTTTGCTCCAGAATGGAGCTGTAGTGTGCCGCACACCATTCTAGGCTGTTTGGTCAACCAGAGACCTCCCATGGTTAGTCTGGACATTACTCATGAAAAATAAGTCCAAGATTCAGCACAACTGGCTGTCAGTGTACTATAGTACCTTGTTTTACATTAATTATAAAATAATTTATATGCTGTATGTATTGTAAATATATAAATTCCCTGCCTTTATTTATGTAAAGTGTGTTTTTTCTCTTGAAATTTTCAAGCATAAGTTTGTCCTGCCTTCACTAACATACGAACTAAATACGTGAAGTTGTAAATGAAAGAAAGTAAACTCTCAACTGTATTTAAGAAGGGCTCTTCTTTCTGTCTGCCATGTACATACAGTGATCTAGTCTTTCTGTTCTTAACAGAAAATGTCATACTACACATGTATATAAATAAAATGAATGTTTGGAAGCAACTAGTGTGCTGCCAATCATTTGCTGTTAGTGGATTGTTAGCCAAACTCATTGTTCATGTGAATATGGTGTTGTGATAGTCTGTTTGTATCTGTGTGTATGCACACTCTATATTAAATACATATGCAGTAGTATGGATATATATTTAAATTAATTTGGCTGTGATGAAGTGTTCAGTGCAGAAATGCCCGAACTCTCTCTAGAAGTTACATGCCCTGTTTCCTCTGCAAGAGGCTAATGCCTCCACAATCTTGCTGAAGCCTGCTTCAATTAATCTAAGTTTGTACCAGGGGATATGAGGAGTATTTGCACTTCAGTTTTGCTGCAGCCATCTCCTGAGTAGGTGTATTACATATTTTCTTTTTCTGTTGTTAGTTGTGCTGTCATGCCATGTGTAATAGAAATAGATTGCACAAAACGATGATTTTTGGGTTTTTTTGTTTTTCTTTTGCAAGTACGTCGAGAGAAGTATGGTGGAGTTTGCTTGCAGTCAAATTATTAAAGGTAACTAGAGTTAGCTTAGTACATTCCATCGGAATTGCACTTGAGTATTTCTGCAGTCAGTTTTGGAAATTTGGAGAACCAAATGCTGTGACTTACATCTGCTGTATATTTTTTTTTTTCCTTTTTTTTTAAGTAATACTTAGCCCTACTGATTTACAGCTTAATAACTTCATTCTGTAAAACGTGCTGAACACCAGAAAGCAGACACTTTCTCACATTCTAGTCTGGAGCTTTTTTTTCAAATAAAAGATAAGTAGGTGGGGTCAAGCAGTATTTGTGGTTTGCCATGTTTTGTATCAGAGCGAGGAGCTCGGGGCTGTTTTACTGGCACAGCTGGTGAAGAGAAGCTTGAATTTGCATTTGAATATAAGTGGACAACCAAACATGATTCTTTCTACCTGTAAGTAAACCGGGCTGAGTATTTTGGTTTTTGCAGTTTTGTTTCATGTAACACGCTTTACTTAGCAAGTAAGCTTTTTAAATATTCCCATAAAAGTACCAACCAGCTTTCTCTTTGCTGCTCAGGTGATCTCTGTTAAGACTTTTCATCTTGTCTTTCAGAATTATTGCACAAATACGAATCCATTGTATGATACTTTTACATACAGATAGGGAGAGAGTCCTATGTACTGTCTCTAAAAGCCTATACAGCATAGGCATAAAATAAAATGTTTGGTAGAACTAGAGCTGTCTTTTCTCCAGAGCTGAATAAGCTCACAGGGAAGACAGTAAGCCTTAGCTTAGACATGGAAAAATCTGAAAGCTTGCTTTTTCAAGTATTTTTAGAAGCAAACTATAGTATGGCTTTCTACTACATTATTGTTTTTCTCAGTGCTATTGAAAACTGACAGACATACCAGATTAGGAAGCATACCATGTATTACAGTAAAGATCTGGGCTTCATTGGTAAAGCTGAGTTTGCAGTGTTGAACACAGTCAACCTGCTGCCCCAGCGCAAGAGCAAGAACATCTCGCTAAACATGCTAAAAGACTGTGAATCTTAGACATGGGCTACAGTGCTTTCAAAGTTAGTTGTGCTTTGAGAAAAGGTGAATTGGAAAACAAAATCAAGCTAAGAAACCTATGAAATAATGAGAAAATGCAAATTATAAAAATTAATTTTGAACTTGTTGCTTTTAACTTTGGTATTACTTCCTCAAGGCTGCAAATTAGAGGTGAAGATAGGAGGAAGATTGCATATGTAAATGTGTGAATTGGCCACCTATACAGACAAAGTTATCGAACCAAAGCTTGCTGCTGGGTGTTGTGGAACTCTGTCAGGCCAGTTATTGTCAGCAGTGGACTATCTCAAAGGACTTGAGTGTTTTCACTACGTTGTCTTCGTTTTTGTGGGACTATCTTTCAGCTTCTCAAGCAAATGGCTGTTCTTGACAGCTGAACAATCTTTTTCTTCTTTCTCTAGCATCCCATCTGCTCTGTTGTGCACAGATAAATTTGATTTCAGGTCTCAAGTTGGTTATCAAAATGTCAGTTGCAAATTTTTAGGCTGAGTGTTCGTTGGGCTAGCTTCAACACCAGTTTCCTAGCATTTCCACTTCATCCACATGCTTCTCTTCCTCTAATCTCTTGTTTCAAAACTGTGCGTGATAAAAGGTCTGATTTTTGAACATCATACTTGACTAGCACCTTGTGCTAGTGTTGGGATTCATATTTGTTAACCTGTCACCAGGAAGATAGCATGACGCTGTTTTAAAAACAAGTGTCTTCCTCCTAATATAGTAATTTCCAGAAAGACAGACATGAGCAGTGAAATGGGCTGGGTTTTGTTCCTGTGTTAAATTATTTGTAGAATTGGCTGAACTCTGAGGTCGCAAGCTTTCATCAGAAATTGGAGAAATCACATTCTCCATGCAGTTGAAGAAGGAAGATTTGTTAAATTCTAGATTCAGCAGCTCAAATACTCATCTTGTTTGATTTAAACCTGGTTATAAACTACTAACTTTAATTGCACCATGATTACTTACACTGGGGATCAAAGCAAAATGTGTAGCATATGTTTTGATAGAACTCAGTGAAATGTGGCCTGAAAGGTTTAGTGGGGCTGTGGATGCCAGAGAAGCCTTCCTTCTTGTGGATTTGAAAGAATCAAGGTATGAATTTTTGGCAATATCTTTTGTTAGGTAGGAAACAGAAAAGTGGGACTTGAAAATAATCGCAGGTCCATAAGTGCTTTATTTTAACAGACTTCAACAGGATTTTACTGTTAAAAATTATGGAACAGTTCTTTCTGTTAGCCTATATTTCTTTCCTGTCTCTTGTCCATTCGGACAGGACACAGGAAAAATTTACCTGTTACTAAATTTACCTGTTATAATGTGGTAAATCTTATTGGTGTCTCTGTTCTCTTCAAAACACAGAATCCAAAATGTGATTTCCTTGCTGAAGCACAAATCTCACTGATGTCACCACTGATTAATTTTTAATTTATGAATTCTTCAATGTGGTTACTTGAATTAGGGTCAAGGCCTGCTAATACTGTATGTGAATCTAACACCCTTTGACAAATCCAGAGTGTTTTGTTTAAGAAAAGGTCCTTGGTCCAAAATTGAAGGAAATCACATAGAATAGTTCCATTGATTTCAGTCATTAGAGTTGGGGTGTATCAGAAAGGAAAATCAAGACGAAATATTTAAACTAACAAGTAAATTCTAAGAATCTATTTTCAGTTTATTTGCACTTTAAAATACAGTGGTTTTGTATTGATGTACAAATTATTATTATTTCTTAGCTCATCTGATGACTGTTGAATAGAAGAAAAGATAAAAGAAGGAAGAGCCCAAGTCACAGGAAGGGTGTGTGTAGCTGCAAGAAGCTTCAGGCAGGAAACGCAGGTTTCCTGTAGAACTGCAGTGAGCATTCCTGTGGCACCTGGAGGCTGCTCTCAGTGTAGGCATCTTCCTTGGCCACTAGGAAAAGGTCAAGATGCAAGCCAGTTTAATCAAACTATTCATTCAGTGTATCAAAGCTTTCACTATCTGTAGTGTTGGCCAGATCTTTCTGAAACAGCATCACAGAGCAGCTTTGGGTCTTTTTGTAGTGACTACATATTTAATATTGGGATATTTTTAAAAACATCACACACGTTCATTTATTGCTCCTTGCTTTTAGCACAGTAAAGTGAGGGTCAAACATGAAAAGTGTCCATTAATGGAGCAAGTCTCAATTTCACTGAAGGCAGAATGGATTCCTGAGCTTACACTATACATTTATTCAAATAGCTGGACTCATAAAGAAAAGCAAGACAGAATTACATGTCCGTAACACTGGTCTGAACTTTCATGGTAACAGCCACATCTTTCAATTCTTATTAGAAGATCATTCTAGCATTACACTGAAACTCTGCAGTGCTGCTTTTAATATTTCTGCTAAGTGTTCTATAGGGAGAGCAAATTATCTAATGAGAAATAAGGTAGACTAGATGGTTTAATCAGAAGAAACAGACAAGTTTTCAAATGTCATATTCTTTTCATCATTTGTCATATTCCAAATCACTAACTTCTTTATAAACATCAACTAAACTTCCTGGCACTGGCTCAAGTAAAAGAAACCCAAGAATTTTTTCATTCTTGAACAGTGAACATGGTGTTCACTGTTTATGAAACAGTTCTAAATGGGTGAGGAACAGTTCTCTCCAGACTGTGCCCTGGAAAATTATGCAGCAAATAAATTGCATTGCCCATACATTTTTAGCCTTCTTTAAAGAAAAATGCCAGTGTCAGCTGGCCTAGGTGTTTATAATTGCTACATTTTGCATAGCCATCAGTGGAAACTTTTATCAAACAGTTGATAGTGTCTTCTGATTACTATAGGCTCACCAGCTTCCCACACAATAGATTCTTCACAGGATGTAACAGTCTAAGAGAGATTGCCCCATGACTCTCAAGATAAATAGTCTAACCAAAACCCTCATGAGACAGGTCTCTTCCTCTTCTAACTATGAACCAGTTTTGGTCTTATCGTTCTGGTATCTGACATTCTCCTTTGACTTATTAGCACAAAATTTGCTAAATTATGTACCTTGATAGAGAAAATAATTACATTTTCATCATGTAGTAAGGTTGCTTAATGCTTTGAGGGCTACAATGCATACTTGCAGCGCACTTGGTTGAAAAGTCAGGAACAGGCATTGGCAAAAATTCTCACTGGACACCACAAGGGGCATCAAATTTATTCCAGGCTGGTCTGGGTCATTAGGATCAAAAAACCAAACACACAATGAAAGAAAACCAGATAAAGTGGAAGGGACTGGTGGGACCCTACAAAGAAATACCAGGTGAAATATAAAGCAGCAAAATGCTGAGATGTTGGGATATTTCATATAACTTCTGAGGGCTGTTCTCATGCTCTGACATACTGGAGTGGCATATAAAGTTTATTTTCTGTTGTGCAGCTGCATATGAGGGGAGCCTTGCCTATACATGCCTGGTTCTCATGCTTCCTGAGAGACTGTACACAGCACCTGATAGCCCAAGCCCATCCCCCTGGTGCTGCTGCCCTCTTACGCACTCACCAGTGATGCAAGACAGAAGATGGTTCAAGGAGCCAACCCAGCAGAGAGGGGTTCTCTGCCGTTTTAGTGTCCCATCTTGCTCAGTTGGAGATGAGATGAACAACAGTGCAGAGGGAAAGGCCGCAGGACCATAGCTGCCACAGCTTGGCTCAAACTGCTGAGGGAACACACACTGGGGAAAGTAGGTCTCAGCCTGACTAGAAATGTACTACAGTGGATGTCAGCCATTTATTTTCCTCCTTTGAATCTTCTTAATGCCTTCTGACCTATTTAATGCCATACCCACTCTGCTCCCCATACAAGATATATTGGATTGATTTTTCTCTAAATGTATTATGTATGTGATGATGTGTCCGGTGGATCTTTTCAGGATTATCAACCACTTGGCACATAAGTGTAAAGCACATCTTTTGTTATCACTCTGAGCCCGGGCTAATGCATATATTATACTGATGGCTGCAACAGAAATGGGAAAAAACTTAGGAATTCAAAGAACTGAATGTAATGTGTCTCCCTTAATAAACCTCGCAATAAGAAAAAGCTTGTCATGCATGTTTGGTTTTGTATTCAGCTTGAATGATCTAAAAATTGTTTCTGTACTGAAGGGAACGGTTCTCCATCTCCTGTCCCTGATGATGTTCTCACCCCCTTCACTGCACTGGTTGGAGCTTACATGGGCTGGTGTGATCAGTCAGATCAGTACTGGTCTGGCTGACTAGGTCTCTTACCTTTTCTGATTTAGTGAGCTGATTTAACTCATCACATGGCCTCATAATTGTGAAGGCGTTGTAAGGGAGACAGTGGGAACAGATAAGTAGGGTGGGTAGGAAGGCTCTGCTATCTTTGATGGCTGCAAATTCAGCCTGAATGATTTGCTAGGTATTTCACAGCAAGACAGAGCTAATAACAGGGCTAACCACATACCATAGTCCTTAAGTCTGTAAGTTTTGTAAAAAAAACAAAAACAAAAAACCAAACCAACAAAACCCCAGGAAAACTTCAAATGTGGAAAATGTTCTTGTTCACAGATCACACCATCCAGTCTGTTTTCTGCTGCTGCTGCTGCTGCACAGTACAAAAAAGGTATGTGAAATGCTTTAGCTTTTCAGAAACCAGGATGATCAAAATATCTACATATAAAGAAATTCTTAAAAATCCCTCTGTTTTCAGTAGAGCTGCTAATTATACTGAACTGTAAAGACACTCTACCCTGCATATCCCTAATGAAGGCATATATGTCCATGAATATTTTTATTTGAACATTTATAGATATGTGTTCACACTAATACTTTCTGTTTTTCAAAATCAGAGCAATGAGAACAAAAATGGACCTGGACCCTGATAATGGCCTGGTGACCCAGTACTCAGCCTCACAACCAGACGTTTCCTATGCATCTAGTTGGAAGTCCAGGGTAAGTAACATTCTGGCAGGTGAAAATAGAGAATTGAGGTGATATGCCATATGGTGGCTTAGCACCAGAACAAGCAGACCAGTAACTAACTCTTGAGCATGTAAGGTTCTTTGTTGCATAGAAATTATAGAGTAAAGGCATCTGATGATTCATACTGATGTAAATACAGGGTCACAGTGATGTTTCCTAAGCAAGCTGTCACAGACAAGGTGGTTCCTTCTCTTGCTTTTAGGTTTGGGTGATGGAGATGGGAAGAGTGGGACGTCCCTGTTGGGCAGATGTAAGATCACCTTGTTCAGCTGGCATGTGAAACATTTGCTTCAGTTTTACTAAATCTAAGTTGAATTAATCTGAGTTTTCTAAGCAAAACTAAGTGCAAAGCTAGAACCTAACCTGGTGCAAAAGAAAAATATGATGTTCATGCTGATTTGCTAAGAACGTCTACAGTGTCATCATCTGTATTAATTCTCTAGATAAATGACCCAATTTCCAGACATTGTAACTCCGCTTATTTCAATGCTGTTCTGCTTTTACACCAGCTGAGGAGCTGTCCTAGCATTCGTACGATGTAGAAGTCAGCCAGTTAGGTAGATGGCTTGTTTAGTTTATTAATAACTGTACTTTCCATTGTCATTTTGGCTTCTATACCAAACTACTCAAATGTAAGTCTTGTTTTATGAGTGATGAGGTGATAGGGCTTTACAAGGGGAAGTAATGACCATAGCAAGTCCTTTTAGTTACTGAGACAGTGTAATAGCAGGGGAATTAAGGAAGCAATAGTTGGGAGAAAAGAATAATTAAGAAAGATACTTCTTTTTCACTAGCGTAAGAGGCAATTACAGTCAAAGAACAAGCCATTACCTCCTCTACCTACTGAGTCCTTGGAAGACTACACAGAAAAACCCAGGGTTATTGCACTCTATGACTTTTTCGCTAGAGGACCCTTAGATTTGCCACTCAAGAAGTCAGAAGAATACATTATCCTCGAACAGTATGACCCCCACTGGTGGAAGGCAAGAGACAAACATGGGTAAGAGAGTGGACATCTATTTCAATTTCCCT